ACGTCTCATTTCAAAACAGAACATGCTCACCTCACTGCTTCTTATTTTGTGCGGACTGAGAGGTCTCTCTTCCTTGTCAACTTCTACTTCAGCCAGGCGCAACATGTTATATATCGTATCCCCTGTAACCTGGCAAAATTACAAAGAAAGGTTTGAAAGTTCATGACTAATTTGTGTTACTTATTCTGTGAAATACAAGGCAATTATTATATAAAAAATCTTGAAAGTACAAGTGCTATAGGAAATATTATCAGCATGTAAGACTTCTAAAAGACAGCAAGTACAATGTACAAAAGTTTGGGTTTTTAAATTTAATGGCAAAAGTTGAAGGAATAGAGGTGGTTTTGAGAATGTAGGCAGATGAAGATGTTGAAGTATTACTGTGAGCTATGAAACGGAAAACAAAAACCACTGAAATAACAAAACTATTTGCTTAATTTTCTTTTAAGTAAATCATGAGAGTGGTAAATTCATCTCATCTTTTTCATCTTCCTGACCCTTCTTGGGTAATTAGAATCTAATTAATTCTAAACAGAATTTTTTAACATGTGATTAGTATTAGATGAATTGATAAATAACAAAGCCATAATAATACGAATAAGATTATTTAAAGGCAGCACAAGATGAAAATACAATTTAGAAGAATAACAACAGCAAGTTAGACAATAACAGGAATAACCCACAGAAACATTTCTACCAGATATAAGAAACAAAGAGAATGGAGACAGCACAGAAAGCACTGAAATAAATTTCAAATGCACATAGGAGCAAACAATATCAAACTTCAGAGAAACTTCTAGCAGTTTCTGTCAGACTTATACTGGGACTCCAATTCATGTAACAGACCTTTCCAAAGATTGTGTGCTTGTTGTTAAGCTCATCTGCACGACCCAATGTAAAGAAAAACTGACTCCCGTTATCATGGGGCCCAGCATTTGCCATAGCAACAAGTCCTCTTCGATTAAATCGCAGTCGTGAGTGGAACTCATCCTGGTAAAAGCAGGACAGAAAAGAGAACGAATTCAGTATAAAACTATCTTTTCATTCCTTTAGCTGCAGAGTGATAGGAGATAGGAGTGATATTACTTACATCAACATGTACACACAGTTTTCTTTTGAATTCAGACAGTAATAAATCCCTAGTATTTTGAAACTCAATGCCAGAATAATATCTAAAAGTTCCTACTATGAGCAGCAAAAATTATTTTTAGTCAGTATTTCTAATCCCTTGTGCCTATAATGATGCCAAAAAATAAACAATCTTCAAAAGAAACCATAAACACACAACGAATAAACACCAAACAAAAAACTAGAAGCTAAAATATCAATAACAGAGACACATTACTAATTAAAAAAAATTAAGTTCTGTCTTGTTAATTTTATTTCTTTTCATTAGTTGCCTAAAAATCGTTATTCACTGTCTTTATTTTAATTTTTTATCCCCACAATATTAACAAAATAAAAAACATCTTAAAAAGTAAGGAAAAGTAAGTTAAAGTAAGTGCATTTCATACACTTCTTGCAAAAATACTACTCGACTATCACTGCATTTACGTGAAAAATTAATTTAAATCCTAATTCATGTAAAGTTACTAAAATCACAATAACAGGTTGTAATAGCAGAGTAATGCAAAAATCCATAGGAATAACATTTTCTGGAATTAGGAAGACAAAATAGGACTCCTTTCAAAGCAAGGAGAACATGATGAATACCTCTGTAACATCACAATGCTAAACAGTGCAATCAATATTGAGATACCACTACTTTGAAGCAGCAATGCTCCTGCAATATTGGTAATTTTTGTTTTGTTCTCTCAGGTACCATTCCCTCCCAAAAACTTCAGGCTCATTCTAGATACAAAAGTCTAGCAGCAAGAAGATGGAAGGCCCAGAAACAGGCTTTGAAGCTTCAGTCACATATTAAAGGTGCCTGCCCCACCAGAAATTGAAGTCAGGCAGAACAGAACACAGCTGCTGAGGATCTGAGCCCCCAGTTATTATACCAGCGTAGCTAGACCTAAGAGCTCTCAATTTAGAACCGCATATTCAAACACACTGAAGCAGAACATGAAGGCAGCTACTGCACAGGTATGCATTTCATATAAGATCTGATTTTTCAGAACTTGGTAGGAAGAACAAAGGATAGAGAATACTAAACAAACTAATGTGTAAATTATAGATACACACCTTGAAAGGAGCTCCATAGACTGACTCTCCTCCTGATCCAGTACCAGTGGGGTCACCCCCTTGAACAATAAAGCCAGGCACTACTCTGTGAAATACTGTGTTATTGTAATACTCTAAAAAATAAGGAAAAAAAAAGAAAAATACATTAAATACAGGTAAGTAGTCTCAAATCCAAACTTTCATACAGATCATGTAGAGATGTTTAAAGACTGAAGTTCCAGAAAGCAAATACTATAACTAGACTCTGCTGCTGGCTTCTATTTCGTTCCCTTCTGCTCTCCACAGACTTACGAAATCACATCCTGTGGTGTCACATGTTTCTTTTACAAAAAATCCTGCCCATCACCAACAAGATGACCTTGATGAATTACAGTCTTTTTGGCTTTTAAGTTTTATTACTGAATGACACTATCAAAATACACCAATTTAAAAGGAGAACTAGAAATGCTGTGCTCTATCCTGGATGTGATCTCACATACAACATTAGCAACATCCATATAGAGATGATTTCCACTTTCACTCACCAGCACAGAACAACTTTCATCACCTATAATGTACTTAAACCAATAATTTTTGCAGAATTAAATATGTGGTACATTTTGCTCTCTAAGCTATGTTTATCTATCTATTTATCTGATAGAGGTTACCAGATCATAAGAAAGCAAAAGGAATGAAACCAAAACTTTACCTAAACAGCAAAACCCTGGTTGATATAATAATAATAATAATAATAATAATAATAATAATAATAATAATAATAATAATAATAATAGTATCTGCAGCACACTGCAAGACAAAGCAGGGTGTGCAAAGTCGTGGATGGTTATACACTGGATATTAATGAGAAATACTTAAATTTATTACAAAGCACAAGAAAATAAAGCCCCCTGAGTATACATGAACCTTCATCATGGGTTAAGAAGGTTCTTTTTGCCATTGCAAAAAGTCTCAACATTAGGGAAAAGAGACTGGACAAAACAGAGTGGATCTGTGCTGGAGGCACAAAGCCTAGACTGCTATTTTTGTTTAACAGATGAAGGCAAAAAGAACTCTTCACAATTCTACAAATGCTTAAATGGGAAAATAACACCAGTTAGAAAACACATAATGGCATCAAGTCTTTCACAGATTTTTGTTACAGTTTTCTCAGTATGGAGCTTCTCATTCTGGTACTCACTACTTTAGTGGAAAATTCTACAGAGCTTTCATCAACAAAAAAAAATACACTAACTGAAACATGAGGAGCACTCACGGGAAAAAAAAAAAAAAAAAAAAAAAAAAAAAAAAAAAAAAAAAAAAAAAAAAGAAATGGTAGTGTAAATTGTGATCCAGAAATGAGAATTTTGGAGACTGTCCAATACTGCATCACTGTCATTTCATGCACGCACTGGAAGTTTTTACACTTTGTAAATATTTGGTGTAAGTAAGCCTCTCAGGACTCTGAAAGACAATGTTTCAATAATTTTCAATGTCATCATCTTAATTTGAGAAAACTATCCAAAATTTTCACTTTTTTTTCTCCACCAGCTTCATTGGTAACCTTGAATAACATTGTCTGAGTGTTAATTAATAATTCCTAAACAGAAATAAACTTACTGACAAAACATAATTACAATCTCTATTTCACAGAAAAGGAACAAAGATGGCATAGTAATTAATTTCAACAATTCCCATCCCATTCAGTCATTACCTTCCATACATAGCTGGATGAAATTTCTGCATGCTTTTGGTGCTTCTTTTGACCATAATTCTATATCTATCTCTCCTGCTGTAGTTCTCAGCAAAACCTATAAACATAGAGATAAATGCAGCCTCAGTTTTACTGTAACTTAGATCAAAGAGTGCAACTGCCTAAAAAACAAATCTGATTTTGTTATAGTTGTAAGAGTGGTACATATTTAAGTGTGTTAGGTAGCTGTTGTTAGTTCTAACTAGTATTTCCAGAACTTGAGATACAGCTCTGAATCAATAGGTATAATAAAGATGTATAATATAGCTGTAATAACATAACACAACATAGCATAACGTGGCTGATGCTTTATAGAAACCTAAGATGCCCTTTATAATTTCTATGACGAAACAACATGGGAAAAAAACCCCCATAAATACCCAAAGATATCGCTCTTACAAGGAACATCATTACATTCAGTGATACAACATAAGAAAATTAAGGAAGTAAGATGTAATCGGGAATAGAGGAAATCAAATTAAACGCTTCGAGGACTGCTGTGTGTTACGTCTCCAGACATCACGCCTCATGCTCTGCCTCCAGCAGCGCCAAAGAAGTAACTTTAACCAAACCAATTCACCACAGAACCAACAACCTCCCCAGCCCCAATTACCACCGCCCCCAAGCTCGTGTTCCTCTCGCCTGTCCCCTCATAAACCTACAACATACAACTTCTCCGGGATTTCACCCTGGCAGCCTCACCTTGCCGTTGGTGGGCGGCTCCTGGATGTAGATGTTGCTCATGGCGGGGAAGGACCGGCCCGGCCGGCGAGCGTCCCCAGAGACCAACGCGGGACACGCTTCGCCTCCGACGCTTCCTACTGCCCCAAGCCGCCCGCCATCTTGGGCGCCTGTACGCAGCCCAGGGAAGGGGGGATGAAGTTACACAAGCCGGAAGAAAGGATGAAGGAATGAGTCCTCGGCCGGAGTCTCTTCGAGACTCACTGAGAAATAACGTGTCTTGAGAAAGATCCGGAGGCTTCTCCACACATCTGTGGTCCCCTACCATGGTTCCCGCCTTAGGGGTGCTGAGGCCCCCTGCCTTATCTGAGAGTGGTACGGTCCGGGAGTGCGCCGGAAAAAGCCTTCCGGCGGGGAGAGGTGTCGTTGCGCGTGCGGGCCGGTCCAGTCCGGAGAGAGCGGCGGGATGGCGCTGCCGGGTGAGGGCAGCGGCAGCGCCGGCCGGCTCCGGCCCGGCAGCCCGGGGACGGGGACGGGGACGGGAACGAGAACGAGAACGAGAACGAGCGGCGGGGCGGTGGACAGCTGGGACAATTGCCCGGGGAGGGCGCGCGGCTGTGGGCGGCACGGGGAAGCGTGCCGGGGGCGGTGGGCGCTGCTCCGGTCCGCGCTGCAGGGTGCAGCGGCAGGGGGATGGAGATGGAGATGGGGATGGGGATGGGGATGAGGATGAGATGGGGATGGGCCCGGGGCCGTGCCGTGCCCGCGCTGGGCAGGGGCCGCGCAGGGGCCCTGCGGGCGCGCCCTCCTGGGGCTGCGGGGCCCCTCGGCGAGCTTCTGGCTGCCCCAGCGCTGCGTGCCCATCGCGTCCTCCTCTGAGGTTAGAGCTAAAAGAACGGTGGTTGTCAGACTTGGCTTTTCTCTTCCGCCCTCCTTCCGGATTAGTGCTTGTGTCCCAGGAGATTGTTCGCGCGAGTCAGGGCGGGCAGAAACACCTGCGCGGTTTGCCAGGTGTTCGTTCAGGCCGAGCACGATCGCCATCGCTCCGTAGCGTTTTCTTGCCCTGAAAAACGGGGAGTGTGTGGTTCGAGAACAGCTGAACAGGCATGAGCTTTGGTGATCTGCCTCTCTGATGAAACGAAGGCCTTCATAAGCTTGTTCCCATTCTAGAAGGGGTTTTTGGGGAAGACATGTTTACATTCAAAGGCTTCCAAAGGTTTTCTTTTCAGTCTTATGTGCCACTGAATGAAGTCCTTAGTTCTGTGCCTCTTGTTAATTGTCTTGAGAATTAAGATATGGGAAGAAGAAGGAGTGAGAAAGTGCAAGAAGCTTCCTTAGTTGGCTTTTAGTCAGCTAAAACTTCATCTAGTCTAAACCCCTGCTTCTAACATTATTATTTAAAGCCTAAAACAATAACAAAATTTCAGTCCTAGGAATTTGGCAGGAATATTTGATGACAATATTCATATTCACATTGTTGTCGTTAACTGGATGTCTCTTTTGGACATCCTGGCTTACACGGGAGATTTCTGTAGTGTGCACAGGACTGTACTGACCTCCCTTGGCTGGAATGCCAAATCTTTCTTTACCTCTGGGTCAGCTATGCAGTGGGGTTGAGGTTGACTCAGAAATGTTTCAGAAAATTGGGACAAAGTAGGTGATTTGGGTGATCTTGTTTTCTAGTCCCAAGGAATAGTGAACAAGCAAATGCTGGTTTGAGTGTTTTTCTGATGTGACATTGCAAGTTATAGGTACGCTTTTGATTTTTATTTTGTGACTCTTTCTTCTATGTTCCCTACCTCCTTATCTCACTCGTGGGTGTCCTTCTAAAGGTAGTCACAAAACATGTACCTGAACACTGCTGACCTTGAAGGGGATATGTAATACTAAGGGTTTGGGATCTGCAGAAAATTATCTGTTATAATTGAATGTATGAATCTTTGTTGCTTGGCTTTCCAACACTCATTAAGGCATACACCTTAGTTGTCCAAGTTTCCAAGGTAGTTTTTTCAACTTGGGGTTTGAAGGTTTCTGTTATTTTGAGTAGAATTTTCTAAAGACAGTGCTTGTTTCAGTAAGTCATAGTTTAAATTAATGGGACCGATGTACTCAATTTCTGATAATATATGACTTCTTAAGTCCCTGGGGTTTTTCTGCTGTATTCAGTTGGGAGATAGAATGGCATCCTTTGATTTTGGGAATTGAGTTGTCACTTTCATTACCAATGGCTTAAATGATTAAAATTAAGATTGATCTGTTGGGCAGTGGGGCAAATCCCTGATGCTTCTCCTGAATCGTGTCCTGTTGTGTCAGTTTAACTTAACTGTTGTCTCACATGGGAGAATCACACACTTCCAATACCTAAAATTTGCATTATTCAGATCCTTCTTCCTGCTTAGAATCCAGACTTTTCTGTTGCTGTCTTCACTTTCATACACATTTGTTTTCTTGCATTTTTTGTGTTTGATGTCAGCTGGATTCAGAATAATTTAACAATTTGTTGACATTTTAATTTCCTTCTTTATTTTCAAGGACTGATTTTTTGATTTGGGTTGCTCTTTTTAATTGCCTTGTAAAGTCAGTTATTGTAATTAAAATATAAATCCCTTCAGAGTTTCCAGTGAATGCCTGTCAACATCCTTGCATTGCTAGAATTTATATTGTGTACTACAGATCATGGGAGTTTTAGATGTCTATTACTGTGTTCATACTGTAACTAAACAAGTGGAAAGGTCACAATAAATCAAATTAGGACTTGGCAATAAATTTTGTAAGACTAAATGATCTCTAGTAGTTTAAATTAGTCAAGTGTGTTCTGATAGATTACTGCACAGAAAAGTAGCAGTTTTTAAAAGAGATCTTGGTGTACTTAATATTCATGAGGAATGATAACTTGTTTCTGTACATTGACATTATCAAGCCACATTTGAAAGAAACTTGAAGGTTCTCTTCATCAACACCTAATTGGTGAAATTTTCTCTTTCAGGTGGAAATAAGGATAATATCAGAGCTGGATGCAAGAAGTGTGGCTACCGTAAGTCTGTAATAAGCAATGTGAAGTTACAGTGTTTTCTTCAGTTTATGGTGTTGGTTGGAACTGCCTTTTGAGGAGGGGGGAAAAAAAAGGAAAGAAGTATTCTCCCTTGTTGCCCAGGCATTTGTCAGTTTAAATTACCATGTTATCTTTCTTCTATTTATTTCATGCTTGTTCTCTGGTTTCTCACACCTATCAATGCTCTTTGAGCAAAAAGAGCAGCAAAAAAAATGTGCTATTATATTCATTCATACTACATTTCAATGCAATTACTTGAGAAACTTTGAATTGAAAGCACCTTCTTTGATATATACTGAGATGAGCACTTGTGCTTCTTCTGAATCTGACTGCAAAGAGGCAGGCATTTCAGTTGAAGTTAAGTCCAATCTAATTCACCAGAAAAAAATAGTTTAGAATCTGTACAATCTTTTATTCTAAGAAAATATTATTTTGTGCATTGTATATTTCAAGAAACAGCTTACCTTTATTGCATACAAGTTCTACAGTTGGCATTTAGCTCATGCTTTGGACTATACACTGATTGTAAATGTTTGTGACTACTTTCCTAATTAATGGTGACTGGTCTTAGTGAAGATTTCAAATTTTTAGTCACTGACTTATTTTTAGAACACTAGAATGGACACTGTTTTGTACTGAATTGTCTTGAACTTGTAGTACAGTGAGTTAAGCTGTTTGGGTTTTTTATATGAGTGTTACATTGGGTGACAGGAAAAAATGTCTTCATTCTTTCACTTCAGGTTTTTGCAACAAATTTTGTCAATGACTTGCTTTGTGTATCTGTTCTTTCAAAGAACAGTGCATATAAAGACATATTTAGTGCTTTTTTTCTACATGCAGCAAGTATCAGAAGCTTTCTGAAAGAGAAGGAAACTTGTAGTCATATCACATGATCCATATTTATATGTTCCTAAATTATCTGTCTTCGTGGTGTAGGTAGTTTGTCATCATCCTTACTAAGAACATGACCTTATGTCAATTACTGCTTGAATTACTGTGTCTCCCAAACCATATCTTCCTTTTTTTTAAAATTTCACTTTTTAAAATTTCAATTAGTGTATCAGCACAAGGTTTCTAGCTGGTAATGTTTATCAAGATGTAACTTAGAAAACTAAAAATACGAGTCAGGTGGTAGTTTAGTCAGTATTAAGTGCTGGCTGTTAAAGATTATGTCTCATAAGCAAATAGGATTCTATGATTTCACTGGAGGGAGTTAAGCAATGCAACACTTACTGTAGTTTTTGAAATATTTCATGCTGTGTTTTTAGGTAGTTTCCTAAGAAAGTACCTAAGACCATTAAAAAATAGAAACTAAAGTTGAAAAAAATCTTGAAATTAGCAGAAGAGGAGAGAGGCCATAAAGCACTATTAAATGGAAGAGCATTGCACAATCTATCATATTCTTGGATAGAGTTTTTCAAAGTAAACTTTCTCCTGCCCCTTTCACAGATCACAACCTACCTTTTTTTCTTTCACTTCTCAAAACTGAATAATACAGAAATCAATGCTCTTTAGTTTTTGGTATTTTTTTTAGTAAATTGTAATTTTTCTTTCTTTATATTTATTTTGTTCAGCTGGTCATCTGACATTTGAATGTCGAAACTTTCTCCGAGTAGATCCTCAAAGAGACATTGTTTTAGACGTCAGCAGCACTAGCAGTGAAGACAGCGAGGAAGAGGAACTACAGAGATTACAAGCCATGCGTGAAAAAAAGAGTAAGATGTTTTTTGTGGGTTTTGGATAATAGTCTTCTGAGGTGCAGGGACTCTGATTTTATCCTTTGTGATAACTACTTTTAGTTCTTTTAGCCTGTGATTTAAAAATAGGTCTTCTACTTTGTGTTTGGACTTCAGAGGTCTGATACACCCACACTCTTTCAGTGTTATGATTAATTCCTTCTATAGGAAGTTGTTAATGTACCTGTTTGGAATATCTCAAAAGGCTCCTAAATACAAGAGATTAGTTGATCTTTTACTAAGAAGCTGCTTAGAAGAAAATAACATGGGTGTTCTGAGTTAATCTTTTGATTATGACATGTAGTTTAAACATCTTCTAACTACTGAGAAATATGACACCTGTATTTCTCTCCAGTTTCTAAGTAGGATTTTGACTGAAACAGTTAGTAGACTGGAATTCAGTCATACATATTTTGAGAAGTACTGTTCTATATTTCTGGAAGGTCTGAGTATCAACTCCTTGTCAGAGTGAGAAAAGATGAATTGTCTATCAGATACTTGAGTTCATTTGAATTTGGACTCCAAAGAGTACACCTAAGTAAGAAGGGGGGTTTCACCTCAGTGTGTTTTAAATGAATGAACATTCTTCTCATCTGCCCTTCTGTTTTTCATTATGTTTTGTTCTTTTGCTCTTGTATGCACTGACATTTAGTTCCTATGGAAGATGCTAATTAGAAGGGAAAAGGGGTAGATAGAACCTATAGATAGTTGTGCTCTTCAAAAGAAATGGATGGGCTGTTTTATCAAGAGTGTTGAATTGGTACTGCAATGGCAATTTCTTGGAACAAGTCTCTTTGCAAAAAATACTTACTGCTTATTACATATTTTTGAATGTAATGGTTGTTTTTTTTTCTGTTCTGAGCTTATTGAAGATGGATATCTGCAGGAAAAACAGATGTTTACTTGATCTTCTAATATTCCTCTTTTATTATATGTTCTTTTGCAAACTATGGCTCCTCCGTATATTGTAAGGAAATGTATATCTCTCAGTTATCCAGGTGGAATTTTGCCATTTTCTCATCTTCTCATCGCTTGCACTATTTTCTTTAAAAAATACTGCTTGTTCACCCATTATCATTCATGTTTTTTCATTGCTCCAAAGGTAATTTTCTCTTTTATGTCGTACTAAATTAATTCAAGTTCCACTCCATAACATACAGACCAGTAATTTGTGTTTGTTGTAGCAAAGGAGTAACTACACCAGCATACAGACTTTATGGAAAGGGTCATAGGAATAAAATGAAATACTCAAAATTGGCTCTCTTTTTTAAGGATAAATTGTAAAGGCACTGTTTTCCTGTTAGCTGAATGTGTATTTATCTCCAGAAGGATTTACCTTCTGGAGAGTTCAAAAGTACTTTTTGAACTGGTATAGAAAAATCTAAAATTTCATCAGTGTCATGAAAGCATTGCTTGTAAGTGAAATGTGAAGTCATGATACCACACTGTAGAGCGTTAGGGCAGGGGCAGACACAACCAGAGAAGGGGTGACTCTCTTGCCAGTCTCTGTAGGCAGTACATTGACAATTAACTCAAATATGTCTCACTTATGGGATTGCTGTTTGTGAAGCATTAAATAGGGATGTGTGGAAGTAACTGAGGGAAGCCTAACAGAGTATTTTCTTTATTTGTTCTAGTTTTCAGACTTGGACATGTATGTTAAATGTTAAAACTGTTAAAATACAGAAGAATCACAGAATCACTAGGTTGGAAAAGACCTTCAAGATCATCGAGTCCAACCCATGCCCTAACACCTCAACTAAACCAATGACACCAAGTGCCGCATCCAGTCTTTTTTTAAACACATTCAGGGATGCTGACTCCACCACCTCCCTGGGCAGACCATTGCTGTACTTTTATCACCCTTTCTGTGATAAAGAACAGATGAAAACCTGAATCTGGTGTAAATGTATAGAAAGAGGTCTTTTTGCTGCATTTTATAGGCCTTCCTTCATTCTTAGTGTTTAGATCAATGTCAATACAATGTAAGTTGTGTATAAAAGTCCTGCTGCTACTGCAATATATTTCTGAAATTGCTATACTAACCAGAATTTGGGGAAAGGAAAAGAAAGCCTTTTAACAAGAATTTTGTAGTAACTTGACATTGCCATTGAAGGTACTTTTTTAATGCTGATCTTAATTCAGACAAGTGTTTTGTAAACTTTAACTTTCTATCTACAGATTTAAATGAAGAGGAAGAAAAAAAGAAACAAAAAAGAAAAAGCAAAGAGAAAACAAAATTAAAAAGACCAAGGAAAAGGTAACCTTCACACACCTCTTTTCATTTCAAAACACAGCTTTAGAAATATTTTTGATACTTGTGTTTTCTCAGAAAATATTGCTTCTATTGATGCAACATTATTTGCAAGTACTTCTTGCATTTGAAAAGTGTTCTGTTTGCCAGTGAGAACTGGCTAATGGTAAGGTAATGGTAAAATAATGGTACGGTAAATGTTCTTAGATTAGTGGTGGAGTCACAGGCTTTCTGCTGTGGAGTTAGGATCATAGGAGTCTTGAGAGCTCTAGCAAGCTTCAGGACTGCAGATCAGAGAAAGCAGAACTGCCCCGACTGTCCAACTCTAGGCAAGCTGTGATGGGAAAAGAACAAGTCAGGAGGATTGTGGGGTTGATCCCCAGCCTAGCCAGGGTAGAGAAGGCTCTCTGAAATTCAGAGACTGTAGGGGTTGTTTGTGTGCAGACATCCATGTGTAAGCACACCTGTAGGCACACAAACGTGCTCTGAGTAACTCACAGTTAGCAAAAGGGAAACTTCTGTAATGTTGAACAGGTGTTTTAGTGTATCTGTTAACATGGAAGCCTAGAAACAGTGTTACTCCAGTTCCAGAGGAAAATGTCATAATACCCAGATTGTGAATCTGAGTTCTGGCCTGTGGACTGACTTGGTTTTTTGAGGTTTTTTTGCCTTTTTTTAAACTGAGACTATGGATAAACTAATGTTTTGTCATTAAGACAATTGATAAGACAATATGCCAGGGACTGCACTGGAAAATGTGAACTGTAAAATATGTATGGAGACCACAGGAAGATGTCCCTCCAAAACAAAGAAACGGGATTTATTACCTGTTGTATTTGTATTTTTCCTTATTTACATTTTGTAATTCAAACTTCCACTTTTGAAGACAGCCCTTACACTTGTAAAGAAGTAGAAAAGAGTCAGTCTGGTTGTCAGTTTTGTGAGGAATGAGGCTCAACCTTTAAAGTTTTTAGAAGTTTAGTAAGGGATAAGGCAAAGGTAACAGCGGTGGGTGCATAGCCATAGCTGGATGCATGTGGTTAACTGTAACAACTTTTCTTACATACTTTTTCATTGCATTGGTCAGATGCATATTCATGAAGATTATACATACTCAAACATTCCTTTGAGTTTATATGTTCCAGGAATTATTTTGCTTAATTCAACTCCTGGCTTCATCTTAGAGTATGTGCCACAATGCAGATGTGACTTTGAGAGTCTTGTATTTTATTTCCTCACAAGGCCCCTGGTCTGTGGTTTGACTGATAGCTGAAGGTGGTGGATTCCTCCTTGCTCTTTCAGTGTTATTTGCCTGGTTCTTTTCAAAATTATCTTACCACACAGATGTTTTGACCATTTTTACAAGTATTCTCAATTAATATTAGCTATTTCACCATTGTCAGTTAGTTAAAAAAATAAAACCATGAGTTATTATTTCACAACTACAATTAATTCTGCAAAAGTCAATGTTATAATATACAGCACATAGCCTCCATTTTAATATTTTGTGAAAGCCTAAACTGTAATATATATCACACTAAAATATACAATCTACACAGGGATTAGGGTATTACCCATAAAAGGCTAACAAATTATACTATATGAAAAGCAGTTAAAAAGAGATTACAAACTGTGCTATATCAAAATAATTTGCAAAAGCCCATATATAATAGCAAAAGCCAACAACATAGTTATCTGTAACAGTTTTCTTTACATTCAAGTAATAGTTAATCAAGTAAACAATAGCATAAAACTGCCCTCTTTAGTATTAATGAATATTTAGTGACTTATTGTCCTCATAGTTCTTTTATGTATGTAATGACTCATCACTGCTGGTTAGAGACCAGTAGTATGGGCTGCAAGAACATAACAATTTTTCATAACTTTCTCTTAGATTTTTGCATCAGGGACGTATATCTGTAGGCATTAATTAGCATTGTTACTGACCATGTGGTATTTTAAAAACAGAAGCTCTGTCTTGTTGTCATACTTGAGTTTTTGATGGTCTGTACTCTTGGTCTTTCTTTTCTCAAAGACTAAAAACCCACACAACTTCCCTATTCCATTATTTTCTAATCTGTCTTATACTGCTTTTCTGGCATGAAAGTTGTATTAGAAAAGTCATCATTTAAGTTAAACATGCAGACCCAGACATCATAAGCTATCCAGTGTATGCTACTCTACAAATTCTACACCAAATTCAATTGGTGACTTTACAAAAATACTGATACCTTGAATTATTATCGTGTCATTTTCCTTCTTTAATTACATATTGATTTGCATGTTTTTTTACTAGATCTTCCTCATCAAGTTCAGCAGAAGAGGATGAACCAAAGTCAAAAAAACAAAAATCACACAAAAAAGAAAAGGAAAAGGGGAAAAAGCATAAATCTAAGAAAGGAAAGCATCATAAAAAGGAGAAAAAGAAGAGACGAAAGGAAAAAAGTTCATCTTCTAACAGTTCAGACAGTTCGAGTATTGACTGACATGGTGGTCTGCTTTTGCTTTTGCTTCTGCAGAGAAGATGATTTTCCTTTCATAGTGAGTTTATTTATGCTTTGCAATTCTGTTTTAAAACGGGATATGTTTTTTTTTTTTGAGAAATCTATTAGCATACATCAGTGCATCAGATTATTAGATGGACCATTTTATGAACAAAATCTGCTTTTCTATTTCAGGTTTACTAAAACTAAACCATGCAACTACTTCACTCTTAATTCAGTTGTGATTGTGTTTGAAATCCTTTACAGTAGGATGTGGTAAATTTCAGTTCACAAGCCTTTGTGTAGAAAGATATGGACTTAAATATGCTTAATGTCAGAATGGTTACATCAGATTTGGAAATTCAAGTGAGATTTTCTATTATCCTTTAAATAAATGTATGTTTCACACAACACTTTCTGCTTACATACATTAATCAGTAAGTGCAAATATGAATCAGTGTTCAGGTCCCAACAGGGGAAGAATAAGCAATGAGAATCTAAAAAAGATTGATCCTTCAAAATTATCTCCTAAAATTGATCTAGTCATAGACTGTGAAACATAATTACACATTTTTTTGGGAGGATCACTATAAGCAAGCTGAAAATAAACAGAAGAAAACAAAAGCTATCAATTTTTAAAGTCCTTTTTCATTGGGTTTTGTTCTTTTACAGTTGTGGCCATTTCATCTCTGACATAGATGTAAAGGTTTGGGAATCAAAACAAGACTTCTAGTATTAAATTATTTCTTCATTCATGTCAATTGTTATTAGCTTCACTTTGCATGAATCAGAATTTTGAAGGCTAACCCTGGCATAACTCCTGCTATTGTGCAGGCCCCAAGTAGTGATTGCATCCTTGCTACTCTCTTGCAATCAAAGGTGATGCCAGTACAAACGAGTGCCATTCCCTGTCAGTTTATCTCAGATACAGAATGAAATGCCTATTTCCAGAAAGAAACACAAGAATAAAGCATGTGAGTATGTGGGGTGGGCATGCCAAATGTGTAATGAAGGGTCAACAACCTGCCTTACAATAAACTCTGAAATGCAAGTCAGTCTCTGTCAATAGGCACAGGAAACAAAAGCTTGCTGTTTCCTTCAGTCATCTTTCCCAGGCAGTGGAAGAAAAATGTGCACATTGGCAATTGAGCTGCTAAGCTGGGAAACAAACTGTGCTGTAAAATGCACCAAGGCCTGGAACAGCTCTGGTTTCACAAATAGTCAAAGGAAATTGCATCACCATTTGTCCTCCTAATAGGTGCTTTTTATCCATTATGCCTAAAACCTATAAAAATGTACTCACCCCTGGTGGGGGCGGGGTGGGCTTTTGTGGACATCTTTCCATAACTGCTCCTGAAGGCCTTCAAATAAAAATCCTCTTTTGTATTACCAACTTACTAAAATGATCTCAAGCTTAATTTCCAGGTTGGGCAAAAAGGCAATGGTGTTACCACTATAAGCTCTACTACCATTGAAATTTGTATGAATATAATTTTAAAGATTTTGTCATTTGATAGTGTCAACTTCTGTTGTTTACAGAACTCTTTCCTGAGTATTTCCTGCAGTTTAGTCAGATACTTCCTCTGTTGTGTTCTCTTCAATGGTATGTGTTGGTTTTTGTGCACTCTGCAAGGGAGCATAAATGATGGACAAACAAAAGTCTTAGCCATAGGTATCCAAGTGGTACAACAAAAAGAAAACTTAAATTCTTTGTGATGTTGTATTATTATGCAGCTTTATAGCTGGAAGGTTTTGGCTTTTTCCTTTCAAAAATAAGTCATAGTGAACAATCATAGCTCAGCATTTCAACAACACAATTAGGGATAAAGAAATATTGCAGCATCTAGCTGTAAACTTGGAATGGACTAAGTAACATTTACAGGCTTGTTCTTTAAAGATCTGAAACCTGCTAAGATATTGCATATTGAACTCTGTATTTACTCAGTGCTTTTGTAGTAGACAACAGGAAAGAATGTCATAGCTGCAGGCCCCTCTGAAAAGTATCATGAGTAATGAATCTGACATGGTGCTTGTTATCTGTTTCATGTAACAATCAGTTCTAGGAACGCCTGGGACGTATTTTTAGAAGATCATCTTTTGCAATTCCTCACATCATCTCTCCCCAGTCAAAAAAGGACACAATCTCTGTGTATGCAAAACAGAATGTCACACATGCCAAACTTTTTCATTCAACTGATGATTTAGTTGTGCTCTGAGGTCTCCACTGTAGAGCCAGCAGTGAAGTTGCTAAAAGGTTTCACTGACACTGCCATGTCCTGGGCAGCCAACATATCTTACCTGGTGACAAGTACCACACATCACAGACTCTCTTGGGCAAACACACACTTTGTGCCTCTTACTACAATGCTTCTACCCCACGGCAGTAGTACCTGAGAAAGGCATTAACAGAAATTCTAAGATGCAAATCACAATAAGTAATAATAAGGGCGAAGAGAGAAAAATATATGAAAAATGCTTCTGTAATAAAAATGCCAGCACATTTACACTGTTCACAAGAAATTCTAGTATAACAATCTGTGAAGATGAATTCAGGTAATAAAGAACACAAAATGAGTGGTGGTAGCAAGAAACAAAAGAGGTTCAAGAATAAAGAAAGAGATTAGCGGGGGAAGAAAAGGAAAAATTATATGAGAAAGAACACCAGAAGAAAAGGTTTATCTAGAAAAGCAATGTTGTAGTTTAAATAATAGCAATAAAGGAGAGAAGTCTGAAAAAGGCTGTTTAATAGAGTTCATTTAAACTTTAGCAAGATGTACTTAAGATGTGGTTTAGTTTTCTGTGTGAGCTAAATATTTGTCTCATTGAGAAAGTATACTGTCTAGGAGTGATTAGTCCTTATTTGTCTGTACTGTATATTTCCTGAGGCTTTAACCTAGTATAATAGTTTATAAAATATCCTGGCAGAATTTTGACCATCAGAGAATTTTAACAAAGAATAAACTTGACCTGTAAGAAACACATTGTATATGTTATTAATTGTCCAGGAGTAGATTTAGGCTGAAAATTGGCAGAAACTTTGTTCTTGTCAAAGAACTGCAGTCCCAGAAGAGCTAGAAATAACTTCTGGAAGAGGGACCTGAGTACATATAATGGGTCAAATGAAGATATGCTTGCATTAGACAGCAACAGACTGGACAAATAGAAACAGGTACTCTCTTGGACACCAGAATTCCCATTACTACTTGTACTTAATACATTTTTAAGAAATGGAAATGAGAGAAATACCACTCCCAAGAAATTTTACAGATGACACAAAATAAGGAAAAGGCTCAAAGTACTAGTGAGATTGAAACTTTTAGTTCAAAGCCAACTGAGTTTAGGCTGGAAAACGTCTAAAACTGGCAACATGAGGCTAGATCTGGACAGCAGATTATGCATACGCTGGGAACAGCCTAAGATGAACAAAACCAAACACCACATTAGAGGATACAACCACCAATTAAAGGATAAACATATAGCTCTTCAAACATGCTGGGGCTATTTTTGAAAACTGCTAGCAGAAAACAGAATCTCAGGGAAAATAGTTTTAGATTTGAGACTAATTATTCAGCTGTAGAACAGTTAAAATCATTATTATAGCTTTTGCCACATCATGATCGCTAGAAAATATGTCCTGCTCACCTATATTTAGCCCAGCTCAGTTCTTTTTGAAGCAGAAAAGTTTGGTTGTGCTGGTAAAGGGTAAGTTTTCCTGCATGTCAGTCAGTGCCTTCAAGGTCATAGAACTTAAACAGGACCACAAACTTCCCAAAATAATGCTACAAGTCTCCTCATTGATTGGAGTCACTTACGACAAAGTACAAGCAGAAACAATGTATCTTTAGCTTCTTTTGCCTCTTGTCCATGAAGGTATGATATCTCTTACAGAGGTAATAAGGAATTTCACCATTACACAGATGTGAGACCAATAGGCATTTAATGCACTACTGTATATTTATTCCTCAGATGGGATAAAAGTTGGTTATTTTATTTCTCCCATTCTCTGACACAGATTTTCTGAGTTGTATTGGAGATACATGGACCTATTATGTAAATTAACATGCAAATTTTGCATGGTAAGTTCTCATTTTTGGTAAGTTAACATGCAACCTACTGCATGTGTTAGTGTGCTGTTTACTGCTACACTACTGCTGTCTAAAGCTTGTACTTTGATTCTGCTCTGAAAAATGTAGACTTTACAGTGTACACAGATATTTCATTTCTTAGATTGGTAATTTATGACACATTAAATATTTTTTTCACGTAAAAAAAAAGGTATTTTTTTCACATGAAATATCTGAAAAATATGTGCTGCCAGTGGAAGGTGGCTATAAAGAATTTGAAAAGCTGGAGCTGCACAAAGTTTTAGTAAAAAAAAAAAAAGATTTGGTGAAACTTGACATATTTGGTAGGAACAGGAATTTTTACTTGCTTCCTACCCTGCAAAATAATTATGGTGCCTTTAACTCGTAACACTTTCAACTAAAATGTTCAAACTCCAAGAAGGATTTAGAAAGCAAGTGCTGCTTTCCTCAGTATTCTTCCTGAATTACTTGTTTCCACACATTTAGGAGTTTATTGTGAAGCATGTCAAAGTACTTGGGAACTAAATAATAGTTCTAAATAATCTCTAAATAATTTGTATATAATTTCCTTGAGGGAACTTTTACATTTTAATCCTACCTTGCTGTATTCCATTAAACTAAAATGTAATATCATTAACTTTTATCCTTCTTTTACCGACATCATGTTCTGGGGCTTAAAAAGTTTTCTTGTTTCCTTTTGAAGTAGTAAAAGATAATCCACTGCATTCCTAAGTAAACCAATTCTTATCCCTTGACACCAATTCAGATACTTACCAGGACTTGGTTCATCTCACTGTCTGTTAAGAGAACTTCCATTCACCCTTGAGCACCAATATTCCTTAAGTGGCCATAAAGCTTGGGAATTACAGCATGTCTCCAGTTAGGATTAGTGGCAATACAAAAGGCTTCAGGTAAGATGCTGGATTGCTTAGAATTATAGAAAGGCTTCAAAACAAAGACTGCAATTTTAGTAGTCTTTAGCTGAGAAGAAGAAACACTGATAAAGTTTCCAGAATAACAAAAGGTACAAGGACACATATTACTGCACACTTCAATATACTGCAATCTCAAAGGGCTTTGAAGACTTTATGTTCAAGTCTATCACAGAATGTGCTGAAGTTAGGGAACTCACTGTGATTTGACTGATGTCAAGAGCTTGGTAATATTAAGATGTTTATACATTTGTCTCACTAATGCATATACCATTGCAATAGCTGTGGTTAAAACACAGAGATATGAGCTGTCATGCAACTTGGCATATGAAATTCCTTGTGATGATATGTAGGCAGGTAATGAATTAGACAAGGTCACTGCTTTATCTGTCCATCTGATTCTCTGTGTATACCAAAAAAACCAGGATTTTAAAAGAAATCTTGTGTGAAATTTTCTTTCCCCCCTTTCTTTCTCATGGCATCACTGTACCTTTAGTCTTGAATTCATACACTTTTTTTGGCATTAATGTCTTTCTTTTTCACTTATGCTGAACAAAAATTAATTGGTTAATTGTAACTACTGATCAGTTCTGCAGACAGTATTTTTGATAGCTATTAGACACCAGGAGTTGTTTTTCCGAAGTTTTAACAGTTGCAAAATCTAGTGTATCTGTGGCAATGGAATCACAGAGTGAGTCTATTGCTTTGACACTTCTCATGAAAACATGTCCGTGCTGAATGCTACAACAGCTCTGATATGTGAGTGCAAGGTTAATGAGAAATCTGCAGAAAACTTTAAATAATTAACTCAGAAGAAACATTGTGCTGTGGACTTTGATTCCATTCTTCTTAAAAATGTTGTTTGCTCTCACAAACACACAGTTTTGTGTGTGTAGGACTCTCCCCATTTCAGATGCTTAGGAATATATATGCCTAAGAACAGTTCATAACCTGAAATCTTCAAACACATTGAAGTTACCTTTTTTGTGCTATTTAAAGAATTTAGTCATGCATATTTTTTTAATCTGTCTTTGTAAATATTCTTGTTGAAATGGAAATATTGTCACAAATTTGTGTAGTACTCTGACAACAAAATTAGAAAAAAATACAGTCTGGCAATACAACTAGAAAAAAGACAACATTTAATTTAAATAAAAAACTTTATTAACAATGTAAAACGTTTATCTTACAGTCTGAGATAATTTTGGCATGCCTTATAAGATCAATATTTGATATGCAGATACCATGCTTTGAATTCTACTGGCAACAAAATGGGTTGGCATTGTGGTTTACATTGTCTATTTTAATACACCTTCTTTTAATAAATTATTTCTTTTTTCCAAAAGCTTGTAGATATACTATTACCTGAAAAGGAAATTTGTTGCTTCTAAACATTGTACAGTTTATAGATATTATGATTTCTCTGTATTTACAAGTCCTACCTATTTTCATATATGGTTTTTTTATCATAAATTAAGATTTTTTTCTGTAAAGCTTTGAAGTTGAGATACAGTGGAAGACTAAATATGAATGAGAGCACAAAAAGCAACTGGAGATTTTGTACAAATTCTGTTACAATATTGTTTGAATGTCTTAGAACTTTAATAGTTTTGCTCTTAAATAGTTTCCTATGCTTAAAGACTGTGAGAGAATGATCAAATGTTCTTCTCCTATGCTTAAAGACTGGTAGAGTATGATTTTAATATTATACTAGTAAGAGTACTGTACTACACACAAACTTTTAGCAGCAGCTCAAACAATTAAAAAAACCCTCTAAAATTATATATGAATCTTAATTCATGTGTCTTCTTTGAGTGATTGAAAGTAAGCATGCAAAACATACTTTAAAAAGTTTTAAATATGCTAGATCTATTCCACAGCCATTTTTTGACCACGATAATTTGAAAGTATTAAAACCCTTATTTGAAAAGGGGGATGGAGCAGAAGACAAAAATCAATAGCCTAGTGTAGAAAATATACTTTATAATCAAGATTAACCACTTTCATTTTTTCAGTGGTCAAATAATAGTGGTTTAATCAAAGTGATGATTTCCTTGGTGCTTCTGTGCCTAATCTTTTAACTTGAGACAAGACAACACAATCCAAAGAATCTTCGCTTCCGTCTTCTTACCAGTGGATAGGGAGTCAAGTTTAGGAGGCTGCTATCATCTGTGATGAAAAACCCCACGTTTTAACACAAGCATTTATACATATGCACAGAAAAGAGATTATATCATTTATATGTCCTAGCAGCACCTACATGATCATAGAATCACAGAATCATTTATGTGTCTGAGATTGAGTCCAGCCTATAACTGATCAGCACCACATCATGGCACTAAGTGCTAGGTCCAGGCCTTTCTTGAACACCTCCACCACCTCCCTGGGCATTCATTCCAATGCTTGACAGCCCTTTCTGTGATGTGGTAGATCCCACAAAGCAGAGAGAAAATAATAACCTGAATTTTGCATTTTTGAGTCTTACAATGCTAATTAACAGGATCTTAACAATAATGATGATTACCTAATCCTGGGGCATATCTATGAGTTTTAAAACCTGGGGATGCTTCCTATCCTGCTGCACCAGGAGTCAGTGATTTTCTGGTCATTGTTGCAGGGCAGTGTAGACACCACCAACAAAGAAGAATTCTGTATGCCTTTATCTCTGTTCTGAATTCAAATTTCTCTATGCATTATATCCCCCTAATTTGTCTTTCCCTTCCTTATTTCCAGCACAGCCTTTTCTTCTAGACTAACCCTAGACCTTTCATCACTCTTCCCGTCTTTACAATGGTAGGTCTGTATCACAAGTGATTCCCTTCTTCCTTTCCACATAGTTCTCAACCAAACTATCCTGCCATGAAATCTTACTTGTATAATGAATACAATCATTCTATATTCATCTCTTAGCATATTATGATGAATGCTAGGCTGCTTAGTTACTTGGGATAAGATCTAGGACACATTCAGTACATTTCATCAGCTACCACTGTGCAAAGACTGAACCACATTTAAGGAACACCCATTATCAAGAGAAATCAAAAGGAAAAATTATTATCTTTTCAATGCTGTTCTCACAAACAGAGTTCCTGTAGATGTGGAGTATTTAACATGCCAACAAAATGAAGGCCCATTGCTAAATACATGCAATAGGATGGAGATCCTGCCCACCTGGGCATTTCTATGGGTTGCCTGATAGCTGTCTATGGGAAAAGCAGTCTGTTGGCAGACTCAAGGCACGTAGCTTTTCTGCAGAGAGTCAGTGTTAGGTCACAGAAGCTACAAGCATTGTAGGGGTAAAGCAAAACTCATCACTCAGGAGGATCCGTGTGCAATCTGCACCTTCATTGCCTTTGAGACAGAAGGACACCAGACACTGGGAAGTAGTTCTGCTCCTGCCTTTGTACCACCAGGAAAAGTCTATTATTTTATCTATAGATCCTATATCTATAAATTCCGGAATAATTCATGTGAAACTCAAGAGGCCAAAGATCATGTACTAGATTCTGGTTCCACTGAATCAGCAGGGAAGAGATTTTTGCCTAGATCTTCCTTTTTGTAGTTTCCATAAAAAGGACCCTAGATTTTTTTAGTATAATATTTTTTGTATATAATTGAAAGGAAAACCTTTCAATTATCTTAATTTTTGTTAAACAAAGAAAATTCAAAACTTACCTTGATTTTTCAGTGGTAAAGGCATAGTCTCCCTGAGTTTACTTAAAAGGTTTTTCATTTCTCTCATATCTCTGTGGATACAACAGTTTAAAAAGATACAATGGAACAACAATTGGAGACTGCATGGGGTGTGGCTCACAGTATAGCTTTATATGCAAAAACAATGGAGCAATAAATACAAATATCTATTGAGCAAGCATTTGGTTTACATACATGTATCAGAAGATGCATACCAAAAGAAAGAGCAATAAAATTAATAGGGGAGCACTTTTATGAAAGTCTGATACTAACTTTTCCTGATTCAAATTTATGACTTATTCTGGCACTTGAATATTTCATATTAAAAGCCTCTGGGGGCACAATGTGATCCTAGTGGCAAAATGCACAATATGTCTTAAAATTAATATTGGCTAGTACTAATTCATAATTACTAATCATAAGTACTAATATCATCTTCATACGCCTTATCAGCATTTTGTACCTTGTGCCATGAATGTGTTTCACTGTTCTGAAGAAAATTATAACATATGCAACTAACTCTTGACACTTAACACTGGACATTAAACGAAAATTTTAGGAACAGGACTATCATTCTCACCTGCCTTGGGAGGACTCTGGCATTAAATTTTCTGAAAGGCAGATGATGGAAAATATGATACCAACACATCATCTCCAAAAGCATTTTGGTATGTTTTGAAAGAGGCCAGAAATTTCCAAATTGTTTCTGCTTTGCACATAGATGGCAGACCTATAGGCTTGTAATGTCTTAATGCTTTCAGGATTTAAATCCAGTATGGTCTTGCTTGATTCTTCTACACATAAAATGGTTCTCAGAAATGCAGCAGCATGATTAGTAAAAAATTGCGCAGTTTATTCTCCACACTATGGCCCAGTAGAATAGAATTTGGCTTTATGCAAATGAGTATGTTAACAATTCAAATCTCAGCTGCAACTTAGTATACAAAAATAGGACTCAAAATAGGACTTTTTGCAAAGAAATGTTGGCCATCAGGATTACTTTCTAGTAAGGGTCTCATTTTTGTCTTTCAACTGCATTAGTTAGGAGAGTAAGATAATAATGCTATGACATCCCCTCCCCTCCTAAAACTTCCAAATTTAAAACTATGGGCAGAACTAACTGAAATTAATTAGATTCTGTGTTTTTGATTTTGAAATGCATAATTGGAGTCTGGCATATTTCAAGCGTATCACAAAATCAGAAACTGTTAAATGTACCAGAGAAGTTAACAAGTGATTTAATTTTCTTATAATTTTCATAGTAGCAACACTGGCTGTCAAATTAAAAAAGACTACATAAATCCTAGAAAGAATTTTTTTTGTTTAGGAATGAAGTACTACACATACCTTTCAGTGTTTTCAATATCTGTGGAAACCTGCCATAGATGCTGTTGAATATCTGTTGGTGATAATGATGTGTCTTCTAAAATAGGTACTTCAGAACTCTCCTCCACTTTAGTATCTAAGATCTTGGGTGGGCCACAAGGTTCTTTTCCTTTAAAATATTAAAACATGTATCCTTATTATTTATTGATTAAAACAGATAATCAAATTATCTAATTGATGCTTTGAACTTGACTTTGCACAATACAAATGGAGAAAAAGACTGCTTAGATACAAACTCTTAGTAAGAACTGTTCAGAAGCAGAGCAGACACCAAGCTAGAAATCAGAGTGTTGCCATATATTACTCTTACCAATTTAAAAGCGTTCAATTAAACTCCAGTGGCTCTCACGGAACACAAAATAACAGCCAGAAAACAAAACAGAACAAAATAAGTGAGGAAATTGCAACACACATTCTGGAAACAATTTCAAAATGCTAGCACTAAAGAACAGTGCAATACATGTCTCTGAGTACTACAGCAATACTGAGGGAACACCAAAGACAAAAATGTGAAATTTTGTACTTTATGATTTAACAGCAATATAAAGTCCAAATGCATTACATTCTGAACTTCTGTGTTGACACCTACCTAATTCATACTCCCCGTATGAAAATCAAATATAGTGTTGAAAGTGAAGGGGAAGCTTCATGACATATCTTCCAGGGCTTTTGTGAGGACGAGAATGGGATAAAGGATTGGATCATGATAATGGAGCATTCAAGAGAGCTAACCATTGGAAGAATATTTTGGTAAACCTGCAAATCTCCTTTGGACTACCTGACAGCATTGCTTTTCTGTAGTGGCAAGTACAATTCTGGCAGCAAATACAGAAGAAAATTCACACTGAAGTGCATCCCAGACAACTGTCAACATTTAAACCAGTAGTACAAAAAGTTGAGCAGGAAATATTTTTTCATTTTGCAATTTTTGCAATTGGAAAAGTTTTGACATCAGTACAAATCTAAGTAGTTCCTGTAACGTTTGACAAAGTACATGAAGAACAAGACCAGCTAATAGAGCAGTGGTCATTCAGGCCATTTTTCTGGGACACTAGAGACCAAAACTGCAGACCATGATATACTGCTCTTCCACATCACAAACACATATTCCTGCTATCAGGCAAGTAACCTTGTTTTTTAAAATATACAATTTCCTGGATCATAAGATAACATTTTTGAGTAAGTTATCTAAATAGTTGCATTCTGGTAAATTATTTCCTTGAAAAAAAGAAAGAAAAAAAGTTATTCTTAGCTACTTGTCTCTAACTAGATGTTGCTTATGCTACAGAAGATACTTGTTTATGTTTTAATGCTCTTCAAAGCCAGTAGGAAGCCCAGAGTTACCTAAATGAATCCTAAAGAGTACATAACATGACCATAACAAATTTAGCCTCCATGAAACAATCTCCTGTGTCCTTTCTTTGCTGCTTACTAGCATCCACTGCTAACTTGTGCTTTGTCAAATCCTTCTGTGATCCACTTTAGCCATTGAAATGAGATTACCCCAACAAAATAAAAAATAAAATGTGACGTTTTCTAATGAAGCAAGGTCAGTCAAAAACCCTACATGTCCAAGAGCAAGTTCCAGAGAAGGAGGATCATATTACTCCTTTTCCAAAAGCAGTGGAAATGAAGAAGAAACTAAGGCATTACAAGGGAGGAGAGACAGAAAGAGACAAAATCTTTCTGTTGGTTACAAGCGGTTATGCTGAAAGATTACTCCTTTGCTTGTGGAATAGCAGATTAAGCCTGCTTCACAGATTACATGTTTTATACTCTGTATCACCCTGAAGGTTTAACTTTCAAATTTTTCTTGTCCTTAAGTGCAGTTTATGCTGTTATTTAAAAGTGATATGGTACAGTTTTCATTGTTCAGTCATATATACTTCATTATTTTTTCCCATCACAAGAAGTCCATAACAAAACATAATGTTACCAATATCTCACATATTACTTTTTCACTAAAAAGATTTCAGGTAAACCATCTAATGTGCCACTGATATCACAAGGCATTACTCATGAAACAGGATATTAGTGGATTGTTCCATTATTTTTAAGTGTTATGGTGGAACCCTGACCTAACCTTTGGTGACATGCTGTAGAGATGCATCCTTCAGGGATGTGAAAGGTGTTTGAATGGAAACAGTAACAGCACTAGATGAAATAATAGTAAAGGTTCTTTTTCTCAGCTTGAGAACAGAAGCAGACACTGTAATGTTCCTTTCATCAGCACAGACAAGCTCTTGCAGATTTGGCAGAATGACACACATCTCTTTTCACCTGGAAAAAGCTTTACCAATTCTGCTGTATTGTGAGCAATTCATGAAGCCTTTCTTGCATTTCAGATCATTTGCTCAGTCTCTTGAAAGCAGGTAAAGAGTCAGCTAATAATAAAGGCTTTGCTTGAATAATGTATGACTCAGGCTTAACATTTCTACTATGGTCACAGCCTATAGAGAAACTAAATCTCCTAAATCTTTTCATCCTTACAGTCACTGGTAAGGATATCTTCTGTCATAGATACTTTAAAAGATGGATATGAACCCTTAATTTCACTTTCAATGTAGTCAGTGGAAAGATTTTTAATAATTTTAGTTGCAATGATGTATTCTTTTCTCATCGGTAATTTGGTTTGGGTTTTTTTTTACTGTAAGAAGCAGAAAATGCTTTTGATATGAAATTAAATCAATTTAGTTAAATAACGCTGAGGATCAAACTTGAGGATAAATAAGAGGGCAGAAAATTGTCAGTTCAGTAAGGTTACATACATCATCTGGTTTTATGTGTCTCACCTGTTGTGCCCCTTATTGCTTTTGTGGTGATGTCTGTATTTGCTTCCTTCATGCAACCCTAGACACCTACTCTTAGTCATCACCTAATTCACACAGAAACTGTGATGAATGAAAAAAAAAAGACCAAAAAAAAAAAAGCCCCTCAGTGCTAGTTATATTTCACTGCAGTGGAATTTGAGATCTTTGAGTAGAATACTAGCCTAGCAAAGCTGAGAGAATCCCTTTCTCAAAAAGACAACAGTGTTTACGTCAGGTTTCTAAACTGGAAATTAAGGATACATGCACAAGCTATATATCCCAGCTAAAGTACACGAGCAGGAAAACCTAGAAAGGGGAATAGGACAGTACTGTGCAGGAACTAAAAAAGGTATTGGACAAATACAGCTAACAGCCTGAGGAATTTAATTCTTTATTTACACTCGGGACCTGCAGAACTTGGAGACTGTCTCACTGGAAATACTATTATTAAAGAAAATGCAATAGGAACAATGATTTTATAGTGTTGTTGATTTTATGAAAGTTGTGCTACCCTCCTTCCATGGCTTTTCTTGTCCCATTCTCTCGCTTCTTCATAGTGGGCATGTAAAAATGGGTGAGTCTCTTGTTTTTGTTTCTCCATACCTGTGTGCTCTTCTACACTCTTGCACTTATCCGTCTTGCATAAGTGGTATGTGTAAGTAATAATACATATCTACCAGTCTTTAAATAGGACATTGAGATTGTAGCACAACCATTAAATAATCCTTCCTTTCCCCTTCAAAACTCTGAAAAGCATGTCATTTAAACAAAGCCAAAAAGCAAGAAAATCTCTCCACTGAACCAAGGGTTTATTTTTGTAGTTTGTAACATAAGCTATCACTTTTAGATATTTTTTAAGGAAATACATATTGTAATCATAAAACACACACTGGAAATACAATAATTAACTATATTAATTTCTTACATGAAACACAAGTAAGTAGTATGCATGCTTGATTTTCCTGTAAGACTCAATTCTTGCCTTTTTTGCATGACTATACAGGTACCTATCACTTTGGTTAGTGCTGGTATCATTCTGCCCTCATCTGTGTTATACATGTCAGGTAGGACTCGTGAATCTCAATAACTTATTTTTTCTTCATGGTGTGCAATAAATAAAATATACTACACAAAAAAATTAGTATGAAAGAAAGATGTATGCCCAAGTAACTTATATGTGTACTAGTTAGCCAGAACTCCTGGCATTATGGAAAGGAGGAGTAATGGAATAAACGATCAAGTAGCCAAAGACTTAGTAACTATAAAACACTTGAATTAAAGATACTTAGGCATGATTCCTTGTGCCCTCTGCAAACTTTCTGAATGCTGAACTGTTGAATCATTATATATTCTCAACACTTGGCTTTTGTAGTGTATGTATATTACCAAAAAAAAAAAATTGAAGAGGACTTACCTTGGTTTACTTACTGCATAACACAGCTGCAAATATTTATAGCTTTTGGCCCTACTGTGGCCATTACATCTCAGAGAAATAACAGACTATCTGACTTTTCTAGCAGCGGTTCTATAACAGCAGTAATTTATTCTAAAACACTGTAAACATGCAAGAAATTTCTGCACAGGAAGACTGATAGATATGCAGTAAATAAAGGAATATTGGTTCTGTGGAAAGGAAGATAAGGAGATAATGAGAAGATATGTGCTGTGAAAGGCAGTCAAAAGACCCAGAGCTCACACCTTCAAATTATTGTGTGGTGTTTCCTTAAGAGAATATCTTTCTTAGTAGGACATCTCTTTCCTACTGGCTGAGTTTTTCTCAGGAAAACATCAGCATCAGCACACTGCCTTAGTTTTATCAGTTCTATAGCTTGTTTGATAAATTCTGATCAAGGTACCAATACATTAATATTTATAAGCCACACATTGCCAAGAACAGTCTATTTGAATCTCTGCTGCCTCCTGAGTAAGAACATGAATTGGTGAAATCTCATGGGACGTTTAAAAACTTAACATACAAATTGTCTGTCAGGTAAAAGAGCTAGAGAAGGGAAATAATACATCCAAATGGAAAATACTACCCACAGAAATTAGCTTCAAGACACAAGAAGAACACCAGACATGCACACTTACAGGCTAAACAAAGATTATAAGGGCAGTATTCTTTGTACAAAAGAAGCTTTTTTTAACATGGTCACTCAGATGATGAAAGACCTGTGTAAAACTAAACAAGTGGAGAAATAAAAAACCTATAAACAGCAGCATCACAATATATGTTATAATGGTGAAGTTATTGTCTCTTTCCTTCCTAGAGATAAATTTATGCACTTCACCTACACTAAAGTATTCTCTGTAAGTAAAGAAATCAATGAAAAGTATGGGTTCAAAATGCTCCTTTGAAAACAGTATGTTCTGTCAGAACACAGAATAAATAAGTTGCAAAGTCATCTAATGTAACATCCCACTGAAAGCTGGGCCAACTTGCATCAGACTGCTCAAGACTATCTGAGTTATCAGTATCTCCAAGAACGGGTATTTTGCCGCCCTTTTGGGTGCCTGTCTAGCATGCGGCTGCCTTCATGGTGAAAAAACAGTTAACACAGGACTGGAATTTCCACCATTGCATGATGCCCTTGCAATACTTCTAGGTGTTGCCAATACTAAATATTTAATACAAAAAAGCTGTTGTCTCTTGGATATTCAAATTATTTGAATCCCTGTCATCACATAGTTTTTTTGCCTACTATGTGTTTTTTCAAAGACCATCACAGAAGCTCAAAGCAAAGTTACTGTGCTTATCTCTAAAACACTCTGTTTGGCAAGGACAAAAATCACTATTTGGTAAGGACAGAATAACTACCATGATGGTTTCTGTGGTGAGTTTAGAAACGGATGTCTATCAAAGTACTGCAAGGCAGGAACTAAGGTGTAACTCCAACTTTAGACATTGAATAGTTTGATGTTTAGTTTAAGTTATTAATGTAGATTCCATCCAGAAGAAAAAGGGAAAGGTAAGACATTTCAGAGTTGCTCAGGTCACTTTAAGCTATTTACTTTCAGCAGTTCAGCAGGTGGTTTGACAACTGTTGCCAATGCTAAGAAATGCAGTACAATCTGTCTTAAAAATGATTACTCATTTCAACAGCTACTATTATCTTATTCTACAATGGCTCTGCTAATTCTCTCTCTTCCTATTTTGTAGACTTATTTTTGAGTTGAAAAAACAATTGAGAACCACAGTTAAGCATTTACAAATCTCCCATTCTTACTTTGAGAATAAAAATATCCCTGGCTTTAGCAGTACGCTACAGGTCCTTTTAGCATGACAGGAAATTCAACGGGTTTATTACAAGATCTTTATTACAGTTCATTACAGAACTTCTTCTTGCTTCACCAAGTTTTTTATTGATGATATACTATCTGGGGAAAGACTAGTTACAATCAGCACAGATACAGCCCTAATCAGCCTGTGCCAGCACTGAGCAATGAGGTTACTAAGTAAAGTATACAGTAAATTGTCATCATTTCTACATCTTCCTTTCAATAGGCAGCTAATCAAGTATGAAATTATTAGAGAGATGCATTTTCACTGAAGTGAGGACATCTCCTTCCAGTTCCAAGTCTAGTATTTGCTTTTATAAATGTGGGCATCCTTTGAACCATATTTACCACATTTATTAACCATATCTACCATAGATACCTTTTGCTATGGTAGTGTTTTAGGAATGATACTCCCCAATTTAGTGCTACCACTGACATTCTTCCAAACCATGGGCCGCTCTCCCTCTCCCCCTCCTCTTTCTGTTGGGGCAGGCTGGAGTTGAGAATTGGAGGCACAAAGGGTGAAGATCACAGGTTAAGATAAGAACAATTTACTGGAACCCGTAAGAGATAACCAGCAGTAAGAGGTAAGGAGCAATGAGATAAGAAAACTAATAGCAACAGCAACACAATTAATAACATATCTTGCCCGACAAGTATGTCTAAAAACATTACTAAGTTTGCCCACTAGTCTGACTAATGACAGCTAAAACTTAAGGAACTACTCTTTTTTAAAAAGACTCAGACTTTTAAGTGCAATTAAAATTAGTGATACATACCTGGTAAGACACACTTCTGTAAGAATGATCATAAACAGAAATAGAGCTCCTTTTTTAGTAACTGAAAACCTACCTACAGATATATATATATAACTCATTTTACAGTTTGGTGCTTGTTGTGATTTAACCTCAGATATCCATGAAGCCCCACAGAGCTGCTGACTTGCTCACCCCTGGTGGGTTGAGGGAGACTACCAAAAAGGAGAAATTGAGAAAACTCATAGGTTGAGGCACAGCCACTTCAATAAATAAAGCAAATACCATGCACGCAAACAAAGAAACACAAGGAATTTATTCACCACACCCAACGGGCAGACAACTGTTCAGCCATCCCCAGGAAAACAAGGCTACCTCATGATGACTTGGGAAGACAATGCCATCACTTTGATATCCTCACTTTCCTTCATGTTCCCCCTCTTTATATGCTAGGCATGATGCCATATGGTCTGGGATATCTCTTGGGTCAGCTGGAATCAGTTGTCCTGGTTGTGTCCTCTCACAGCTCCTTGGGCCCCCTCAGCATCCTTGCTGGTGGGGTGGGGTGAGGAGCAGAAAGGGTCTTGACCTTAGCAATGACTAAAACATCCCTGTATCAACATGGCTTCCAGTGCAAATCCAAAACATCGCTTCATGATGGCCACTATGAAGAAAATTAACTCCACCCCAGCCAAAACCAGGACAGTGTTTTGTTTTTCGTGAATATCTGGGCATGCCCCAAAAAGTGTGCTTTTTCTAAAACAAGCATTTGCATATTTGTGCAATTCAGTACCTTTCCGATGAAACTGCAGTGATCCTAGCAGACATATGGACTTTAGCATTTCTGTTGTGTACATTTCTAAGCAACATTGCAACTGGATATATAGTCTACAGATTTCAGGATGGATTTCACCATCTTCTGGGCTGCAATAAAAGAGAAAAATGTAGTTAGGAATGAGACTAGAAGAATGTGAGTGTCATAAAATCCACTTCCTTACTGTTGCTAGCAACAACATCAGAATCTGCTTCACAAACTGTTATGCTTTTTCTACCTAACAGTATTTACAAACAATTCATTAGAACTACAAAACTCTAGGCTTAACATAGCTGAACTCGGGCTATCTTTGGTAAGACTGCATGTCCTTATTATCTCCTCTGCATGTTTTCAGAAATGGGTAAATAACTGACTGAGATATCTTCTCTTTAAATGCTTTGGATAAGTATTTTCTGTGAGACTGAAGCCTTCTTTTGCCATCCAGTTTCAGTTACCCTTGGTCTTGACACAGATGCAGGAAATTACTAGGCCATTTTAACAGTCCCTTTTCAGATTACAAATGCTGTATCAAGAATAATCAACCCTACTTTGAAAACACACTCACAGAAACAAGTCAGTTTTAGCCTACTTGTTCTATACATTCTGCCTGAACTTGTTTTCCCCCATATTTAAATTAGTAGTGATGTGATATTGCACTGTGAGGAGAATGGGATGTGTGAGACTTTTTTCATGAAAGTAGTAACAATCTTGAAAACAAAAATTGAAATCCTACACCTCCATTTCAGGAACCAATTCTCATGCCTGGTTGTAGAATCACATTAAGTATCACTTTTTGAGGCTGGAATCACAGAAGTGGAAAGCAGTACAATGCTTAAACAAGAAAAAAAATTAGGCTAAAGAACAAAAAAAACACCCCAAAACACATTAAAGATTGAAGAGAAATTATTCTGGAATTGGAAGAGATAAAGGACGATTGGTTCCACCTGCCAATGCATTACAAAGCAGATGTCATCAAAGAGGCAGGAAATTACTGGAGCATAAATTACAATTGCTGTGGTCTGTTACTACAGGAGCTACACCAAACACATGGTAATAAACCTGCCCATCCTAGCAGCTTTATTTCTTTTGGCTAGAATGTAATATTTTTATTTCTCTTAAGCCACATCTATTTTTCTACTTCTGAACTGAAGTCTTGATTTGTTGAAAAATTGTCATGCATGATACTTTCTGCATCTTATGATAAATACAGAATAAAGCTATGGTGCACAACAAAAAGGGTTCGACCACAATTCTGCTTCCCCCCCCCACAATGTGTGCATCACTTAATGTTGCAGCCTTTTTCTCAATGAGCAAATAGTTACTTCCTTTAAAGGAAAAAACTTTAGAGGTCAATCTTAGTACCTAAGTCCTGAAGCCCCACCAATAGACACACAGGCCTAATCAGTTTCTGCTGAAGTTTCCTAGATGTCTGAACACTTCTCTGTGACCAAGGTTTCTTCTGCCCTGAAGCTACTGACTTGTCTATTCCACCTGAAAGGGGATTTGCCCATACATGTGCTTGTGTAAAGTGGAACCTGCAAAAACTTTGTCACCAGAGATGGTAATGATTACCTTTTTCTGCGCAATGATGAGAGCTCTTTTGATTGGGAGATACAGTTCTACTCCTCTTTCTTCATGCAAGACAAGCTGATTCTGTCTAGCTTTTCTGAAAACTACAATTATTTAACGACAAGTCTATCCCTAAGAGAAACAGACACTACCTTCTGACAAGATAATTTCCTTGTAGCAGACTTAGATAAAACATAAAAATAAAAATATGGCTCTTCTATTTTTCTCTGCACTATTTCAGATATTTACACACCCTGAGACCCCCTCGGAAGTCATGGCTACTACAGGAACATTGTTTGCAATGTTTATTTATAATTTATGATGTTCCTTTCTAGCTGTCACTGACAAAAAGATTTCAGGATCTGCGCAGAGGTGTAAGGAAACAGTGTTTTCCTTATACAGCAATTAAATTCCTATGAAGCAAAAACAGTGAAAACTTTTCTTTAAAACATTTTTGCTCTTAGTGACAGAATTTTTTTATTGTGCAGACTAGAAAGGCGGCAATTATAAATAAGACGCTTGACTCATGAGCCAATTCAGATTTATTAGTGGCTTCCTATTTACAAAAATGTGGAAGAGTATTCAAAAGCATAGCAATAGGCGTTTTAACTTACTTGTTTTGCTGTCATAAATCTAGTGGGGTTTTTTTTGCAAACTGTATTTATGAACAGCATGAGAATAAGAACTAGAAACATCAACAATATATGCATGTTTTGACCCATTCTTGTTTTCTCAAGAATATAGAACATTTCTAACTGGACTATGGGCAAAATTCTTCTCTCATTTGCAAATCCAGACTTACAGCAATGATATCCAAGAAAAATACTATACAGAGTTTATGTAATGAGAATTATTTCCAGCCCAGTACCCTCACTAATTTTCTCAAACTATTTAATGACTGTTTAATTGTAATAATGACCACAACAAATCCATTAGTTTGCAACAAAACAATTTGCTTTTATGCATGTATATAGGCCTCATTTTCATCTCTGAAAACCAAATGCTCTGATATGAATGCCCACAAGGATTTCTTTTATAATCCCTGAATTTTGTGTACAGGACTTAACATTTTCTTTTAAAGTATTATCAATTTTTCTGTTTCTGTAGGTACAATGACATGCCATGAGAAATGCTGAACAGGGGACTAGTACAAACATAAATTTCAGAATGCTTGTTATGATACATTTATTATTAATTACTGTTAAATATTATTTAATAGTTATATAGCAAATCAATATTTATATATAAAGGAAAGTTTATGCAAACTTCCAATATTACCCCCCAAGTCAGCTGCTCAGTTAGTCCAGCTCATTTTTTTATGAAGACCACTTAAGTTATTCAAGAAAAACCTCATATAACATGATCTTATACAATGCTGTGCTAGACTGTGTTTGCAACACAGCTATTTAATAGTTTATAAGCAGCTGATTGTATGAGAGCTAACACAGCACTGTGCACCTGCCCATGAAACACAGACCAGCAACTCATTGTTGACAGTACGAAATGTAGTTACAAAAGTGAAAACGCTGTGTTACTCCTACATAAAACATCAGCTTAAATTATGCAGTTTATCAGGCTGCTATTAAAAGTATAATTTTGTATAAAACCAAAAGTAAGTCGCTATAAAATCTGTAATAAATCTGTTACATTCTCACCATTGGTGAAATAGCTGGCTTTCTTTCCATAAAATCCTGCTGTTTAAAAATCATGTAACATTGATCAACTGAATATGTTTATAAAGCACTGGAAGTTGAATTTCCTTTCCATTTTCCTAAGCTGAGATTTGAAATAAAACCTATAGAGGGAGCTCTTGCACCAACCAATGGTACTCAGCATCATTAAGAAAGGTAAATGCAGCTATTTTGGTAATTATTTTAAAATTAAAAAAAAAAGAAAAAAAAAAGAAAAGAAAAAAAAAGGATCCTCCTTAAATGGAAAGGAAAAGAGTAAAAATTCATTAAAAATTATTTTCCCTTTAAAATAATTAACAGATGATTTTACTGTACTGCCAGAATGTTGGTCACAATTGAGAAACACCTTCAGATTTTCCTGAATTCCCACAGGTGCCCAACACTTGCAGTTGCGCTGAAATTGTGAAATTTAAGTGAAATTAAGCAAAACATAAGACTACTAAAAACTGAAAAATTATTATGGTGTAACTCTCAATTTAACTTAAAAATTTTAGTCACACATTTACAACAGAACAGCATTTTACTTTTAGCATCAACAACATTAAAAAAATAGATATACCACCTATGATTAAAAGAGTAGCTAAGCTATATGAAGGGTTTGATAAACCTTTTTTTAAAAGCATTGTTTTGACAAATTCTATGCTTAACTCCAAAGAATTAATATTTCCAAAATACTCTAAGCCAAAAGAACTATCTAGACATATAATGAAATTTGTTAGTCTTCAAAGCCAAAGGAAAATAAACATTTGTCCAGCCAGAAGTGCAAATTAAACAATCAAATTCTGTCTTATGCTCCATATATGTACTTCCCTTGAAAAATAATGTAAGTTGACTTGATGAGCTGTGAAAAATTACTGTCCACAAATATTACCCTGTAGATTGTATTTTAAGTTAGTGTATGAAACATCGTGGTTTAGAAATATAGAGCAGTAGAAGGATGAAAAAGATGAAAACCAAAACTTACCTCAAACATATGGTGCTTCTGTTCGGATACAAAGTGTGACAAATACTGCAGAGGAGATACACTTAATCCCCTTACACACCAAGTACCAGAAGCCCCTCCGATCACAGCTCAGTTCAACAGCCTACTAAACCTGCCCCTGCTTTTGTATCTTAAACAGATTGCTTATTCTTTATCATGTAACCATACATCTTTGAAGACAACAAAAGACTGGTGAATTCATTTTGAATATAGGTAGAAAAGTTGTCCAACAACTGTGTTTTCTTCTAAACAGTTCCTGGGAAAATGTTCTTATTTGTGTTCCCCCCATTTGCTGGGGTTATTTTTTAAAAAATGCACACAAACTTGCTGTCAGCTTCAGTGCCATGTGTTGATTTGCTGTTCTCTGCTTATGCAATACTGTGATACAATTGCTATTCCCTAGCCTGTCCAGCCAGGAAAAAAGCAGGGTTTGTTCTTCCTAGCAGACCCATAAATGACTGCAGTGCTGTTCTTGTTAAATCAGATTGTTGTTTTGAAGCAGTTACAACAGCGCTTACAGTAACAGAAGATGTGATCAGGTTAATTTTGTTAGAACAGTGTAAATCTCCAGGAACTGTGATAAGGCTGATGGAGTCTCTGAGTACAACGAGCAGAACAAAACCACAATGCAGTGGCTCATATTGTAAACATTGCTACCTCCCAGGCTGATAACATTTTAGATATTTCCATGATAGAACAATTTAGATACCACCTTAAAAAGAGAGCGTTTGAAACAATCAGAATCACAGACCAGAATTTTCTAGACTTCTTCCCTCAGAAGTCAGTTTCAATTGCTGAACTAACATGGGCAATAGGTAAATTACCAACACACGATCCAAACTATTCCACAAGAGGACAAACCCAATCA